GGGCGCACATATATCACTGTGGTATGATTCTTTTAATTCTTTGGGGAAGATCCCCAGCAGTGGAATAGCAGGGTCAAGTGGGACTTCCAGTCCTAGTTCTCTGAGGTATCTCCATACTGATTTCCACAGTGGTTGCACCAGTCTACACTCCCACCAGCAGTTATCCGTTAATTTTTTTAAAAGCAATTTAAAAATTAGGATAAAATGAATAAAATGGATAAGGGATTTTCAGTGACTATTTTATAATTTTTATTAGGACATATTTACAGTACATAATGATGACATTCATCATGAGGAGTTGTTACTTATACATATCTTAATTCTTTTTACTTTCTGACTAAAATTTCATTATTTGACTGTATTTTGGACTATAACAGCCCTAAAGTATAAACACATACTTTGGGGTTGAAAAGCATTCCAAGTAATCTTAAAATGTTAACAGTAATCATATGTGAATAATAATATCAATTATTCTGAGACTACATGTATGAGATAAAGTAATTAGGATGTGAACCAAGATTTTTGGTTTAATTTATACAAATAAGGATCAATTGGGTTAAGGAAAAACAATGTAATCCTAAGTCTGAATTAGAATTATCTGTGTATATTAATACATTAATATTTTAAAATATATATTTGCTGACTCTTCTTCATAGAGCAATGACCAACTTGATATCAATGAATATACTGAATATGTATATAATCTACACTAATTATTACAGGTGGGACCTTCCAGGAGGTGACTGGATCATGAGGGCTCTCACCTCATCAGTGGATTAATCCACTGATGGGCTCATAATTTAATGCCCGTATTAAAAGGTGACAGAAACCTTAGGAGATGGGGATTGGCCGGGGGAGGCAGGTCACACTGGGGTGAGTCAGCAGTTCTCTGTTCAAATGTTTATGGCAAGGATTTGGAAACTTTTCTGTAAGTAGCTAGTATTTTTTTTTTCCTTTGTGTGCCACATATAATTTCTATTGTATATACTTCTTCTTATTTTCTGTTATTATTGTTAGTGTTGTTTTGGTTTGTTTTAGCTGGTTTGCTGTTGCTTTGCTTTGTTTTCTTTTAACAACACTTCAAAAATCTAAAAACCATTCTTAGTTACCAAGCCACACAAAAACAGGTTGGCCCAACCTGTTTGCATATATCTATCCTATAAACTGGTTTATAGGATAGATTCTCAACTCTCAGGTATGGATTTATCAATACTCTTCTGATCTTGTCTTTCATTACTGAATCCTACTGCTCAGAACTCTCCGCAACTCAATCATGGAGCTAAACATGTCTATACCCCATTCCAGTCGTACTTTACCTGTTTATTTTGTTAACTTCAAATTTTCTTTTTACCTCCACTATCATCACCTAAAATACAACACAATAACAAAGAGAAAAAAGCAGCCTTTGAAGATATCTGTGTTATGATTTATGTCTAGATGTCCCCCAGAAGCCTCACACATTCACAGGCATAGCTTTTGATTATCCAGGAGCCACTGCTGGCTTGCTGTTAGAAGGTGGGACCTTGCAGAGGTAGGTCACAGGGGTGTGACCTGGAAGGTTCCTCCCCTGGCCTCCATCCCCTCAGCTTTCTAGACACCATGACCTGAGCTGCTTTCCTCTGCAGCTCTTCCACCATGCCATTGACATGCAAGGACTGAAACTTCTAGAGCATGAGCCAAATTAAACCACTCCTCCTTTAAGCTATAAAGGCCAGATATTTTGTCCCAGCAACAAAGACAGTAACCAAGACAATCTGTGTGATTTTATCAATTAAAAAAGGTTACAAAATTTTTATTTGTCTATTATACCTCAATAATGCTTGTGGAGGAGAATTTGTTGGTAAACAAAAAGAAGGGGCTGGAAGTTCCTCTATTAAGGACAATGAGATGGGTCAGCAGTGAATCAGGACAAGCCTCAAAGACAGACTCTGAAAACTTCAAATCAGCCATTACGCATGTTTAAAGAATAAAGGAAACCATTCTCTTTTTTTGGTACTGGGAATCGAACTCAGGACCTTGCGCTTACGAGGCAGGCAGCAGAACCACTGAGCTAAATCCCCAGCCCAAGGAAACCATTCTTAAAAGAAGTTCTGATTAAATCAACCAATAACAAATGCTGGTGGGGCTGTGGGGAAAGAGGAACCTTGCTCCACTGCTGGTGGGAGTGCAGACTGGTATAACCACTGTGGAAGTCAGTATGGAGATACCTCAAAGAGCTAGAACTAGAGGTCCCATTTGACCCAGCTATTCCTCTGTTGGGTATCTTCCCCAAAGAATTAAAAGAATCATACCACAGTGATATATGTGCACTCATGTTCAAAGCAACACAATTTGTAATAGCTAAAACTTGGAAGCAGCCCAATAGCCCATCAACTGGAGACTGGATAAAGAAAACGTGCGTTATTTATAAAATGGGAGTATTACCCAGCCATAACAAATGAGAAATTAGAGACATTAATAGCTAAATGGATGCACATGCAAGCCATACTCTTAAGTGAAATAAATAGGACACATATGTGTAAATACCAAATAGTTTCTCTGGTGTGAGAAACTGAAAGTGTCGATAAGGACACTTTTTAAGGTATAATAGATAATGTGAAATAGGAAGAAAAGGGGCAAAGAGGAAGGAAGTGGGAGGGGTAGGGGAAAGGAAAGAAGGAAATGGAATTAATATGAGAAAATGAAAAAATAGAAACAAA